CATCCCCCCCACCTGGCCAGCCATCAGCGCGCAGGGGGGCCGGGGCGGCCCGGCCGGGGGGTGGGCGGCAGGAATGCCGCTCTCCTCTCACTGTGGATTGACAGGTCAATCCCCCAGGGCGGCTCTCCTTTTCCCCCGGGGGACGGCGGCCCTTCGCAATCCCATGAGAGACCGTCGCCCCGGTTCCTGCCACCCCCTCGGCAGGGAGGCGCCAGGAGCAGGCTGTGGGGGCATAACTTCCCTCCCCGACAGAATCGGCGTTCCCCGATCCTGTCGGGGGTGCGACGGGGAATGAGGCGGGACTTGGTGCCCCGTCGGGGAGCGATTCGGACTCCCGAAACTCATGTCAGCTTGGGCGCGCCGGGCGCAATTCGAGCCTCCAGCGAGCAACAACGCAGAGTGCACTCTGCGGCAACATCGCGAGTCATGTTCGGGGAGGGGGCGCAGGCACTTCCCATTGGCTTTTGGCAGGAACGGCGGAGGTGCCAGCATGTTGCCTGCTGAGCGCAGGGCCACTGCCCCTGTGAGCAAACTACACGTCGCGGCTAGATCTAAGTCGTGCGCGGGCACCCCGCGATTACTTTGCTGAGGTTTTGACAGGGGCGGCAAAGGTGCTGGCATACAATCTGAAGCGTGCAGGCCCACCAAACGTCATGTTGGCCACCTCGCCGCGATTGCGCACTGATTTTCGACAGGGATGGTGGGGGGTGGGTGGGTGGGACATGTGTCCCGATGTGTGCGGGCGCACCTGCCGCACTCTGCGCGTGTCCTGACCGTGCGCACCTGGCGCGGCTGGGCCATGCGGCACACATGGCGCAAGCATGGCGCACATGGGGCACGTGGCGCATCTGGCCCGCCAGGCGTGCCTGGAAGGCTTGTGCCCGAGGGGTGCCTGGCGCACTTGGCGCGCCTGGCACGCGTGGCGCATCTCACCCCAACCTCACGTGCGCGGGCGCACCTGGCACACTCTGCGCGTGTCCCGAACGTGGCAGCTGGCGCGGCTGGACCATGCGGCACACATGGCACCACTCGAGCGCTTGGCGCATCTGGCGCACCATGCGTGTCTGGCACGACTGGGCCCCAGGGGTGCCTGCCGCGCCTAGTGCGCGTGGCGCGCCTGGCACGCGTGGCGCACCTCGCCCCAGCGTCGCACAGCAGGGGTCCGTACTAATTTCCAGTAGCTGCCCATCCAAAGACGATCTCTGAATGTGCTGAGACTCGGGTGCTACTTATGTGTTGGGAGGGCGGGCAAGTGGGAGTGAGCCACACAGTTTGCATCAGGGAGAAGTGTCTTGATCACTCTTGTTTGTTAGCCATTAACATACGCCCCTCCCCCGCCCGACTGCGACAAACCTGGGGCCATGACAGCCCCCCCCCGCCAACCGTGTCAAGCAACACCTTGCACATCAAAATCTGGATCACACGCGGACGCCCCGCGGTCACTTTGCAATGTTTTTTGTTCGAAGAGACGGCGGGGGGGCCAATATGTTGCCTGCTGTGTGAATGCCGGACCCCCGGCCACCCCTTGCAACAAAACATCAGAAATGTACTATGTATCAGAATCTCGATCATGCGCGGACGTCCCGCGATCACTTTGAGTTGGTTTTCGGCAGGGGTGCTGGCATGTTGCCTGCTGTGTGCAATGGCAACACCCTCCAACGTGCACTCTACACCGACATCTTGATCAGTCGCAGGCGCCCCGCGACCATTTTGCCTTGGTGTTTGACAGGGTCGGCGGGGAGGCCAACACTAGGGAACCCACAGAGAACGTACACGGCCCCTCGATCCGCGATGCCGCGTGATACGAACATTTGGGCAATGCGTACTCTCGAAACAAGCGTGGACTCATGTACGTGTACGTCCGTCCTTCTGTCGCTCCTGAAGCTTATCACCTGTGGCGTGCAGGCCCACCATCCCTATCCGAAGAAAACAAACATTAAGGGGCCCTGGGACACACAAATAAATAGAGACAAATATCATGATTCCCACTATTTTCAAACATTTTCTGGGTTTCTGTCTCCCCCCCCCCACTTCCTATATTTTCCTCTGCTTTCTCGGGGAATCGACGATTGATTGTCTCTGTGTTTTCTTTTCCCTCCTGAGAGAAAAAAAACACCTCACCAGGGACGGCGGGTGGGGCGGCAAACTGCCTGCAGTGTGCAAGCCTACTACCCCTGTCGAGAACAGCTGCACGGTGATCGCGGGCGCACGCCCACGTACACACAAGACACACGACCAGGATAGTAAAGATGCGCGGTAAGGATGCGAGGGCCTCGGAACGCCATGTTGACGTTTTCCGTGCGCAGCGCAGCAGCATGCCGAAGGATGCCGAATACCGAAGGGGCAAGGATGCAAGGGTAGCCTTGGAAAATTGCCCCATCCTTACTGTCATGGTTGACTGCACATTGACTGCACACACAATACACAATGCTCGCAACACCGCCGTCATTTTGCATCCGTGCTTGACCAAGATTAAGGGCCCAATGTGGCGCACCCGGTGTGCGTGGCGCACCTGGCACGTGCGGCGCACCTCGCGGGCATCGCGCACCTGGCTGGCGTCTGCATTGATTCCCGTTGGTTGTCGATGCTGGCCCCTGCCTGTGCTGAGACTCGGGTGCTACTTCTGTAGTGGGAAGCGGGTGGGAATGAGCGACGCGCTTGCGGCTTGGGGTAGCCTGCGCTGTTCCCAACTAAGAAACACCGGCTCCCCCATGCGACCGGCAGCCAACCTTCCGAGACATTTTCTGTGCCTGCGGGGAAGGCTCGCAAAACTTCTCAGAAGGCCGGGGCACTTCCGAGCCTCCTGAGAAGGCCCGCCCCCTTCTCATTCCCCCCCCGGGCTTGCCGCCGAAACGACAGGGGGGACCAGCTCAGGGGGGGCAACGTCGACCTGGAATCGGCGATACGTGGCCGATAAGCTCCCAACAGCGAATCCGCGCGCTTCTGGAGAGGCTGGGGCCATCGGACCCCTGCTGGCGCTACATGGGACGGTGGGGGGGTGGGGTCGACGCGCCTCCCCGTGAGCCTCTCCCTCCTCTCACGGTACCCCCGCTCGGGGGAAGCCAAGAGGCACCGATACCGCCACTTCCCAGACCTCTCCCGGGGTGCGCTATGACGAGAGAATCTCGAGGCGAACCCGGCGGTGGCGACGAGGGCCTCCCGGGACGCCACGAAAAAGGGAAACGAGGGAAGGATAGAGGTATTGGTACCTTTACCTATGTTGCTCCCACCGTGCTTAAAACCAAATCCCAGAAATTCGCCGGCCCAACGGGCCAGAGGCGTGCTAAGGTCTCTGGTAACTGGTTAACAGTATCTCTAGTTCGCGCGCGGGGCGGCCCCTGGGGGTGCCCGGACGAAAAGTACCCTGGGCGATCCCCGACCGACCCCCGAGCGATCCCCGGAGACTCCCCCAGAGCGCTCCAGGAGCGCTCCAGGAGCGCACCAACAGGGCTCCGAGACGTCCCCGAAACCCTCAAGACGGGTCCAGATGCCCCCAAGAGGCTCCCAAGATGGTACACAAGGGTTCCGAGATGCCACATGATCGCTCCAAGACGCCCAAGATGGCCCCCAGACGCCCCAAGAGGCCTCCAAGAGCACTCCCAAAAGGGCCCCAAGAAGCAAAATTCATAGTTTTTCCTTAGGTTTTTGAGAGATTTTGGAGCTTCCACCTTTTCGGCTTCCCGACGCCCCAAGACGGCCCAAGAGGCCCCCAAGATCGCCCCAAGAGGGCCCAAGAGGCCCCCAAGAGGGCCCCAAGATGGCCCAAGAGGGCTCGAAGACGGCCCAAGAAGCCTCCAAGACGGTCCAAGAGGGCCCCAAGAACGCCCCCAAGGGGGCCCCAGAGAGGGAACACGAAACAACATTTCGAGCCCTCGGCCCTAAGAAGCCCCCACGAGGCCCCAAGAGGCCCCTAAGAGGCCCCAAGAGGCCCCCACGAGGCCCTCAGGAGGCCCCCAAGAGTCCCCCAAGCGGCCCCAGGCCCCCCAAATGCCCCCCCGAGCGCCCCAGGAGTCCCCCAAGCGGCCCCAGGAACCCCCAAAGCGCCGCATTGACACCAGGCCCTCGGGCAAACGGCAGACATGAGACTGTATAGGCCGGCGGAATGAGCGAAGCGATTAAATAATTGCCAGCTCCCAGAAAAATACCGAAACAGTGTCGAACGAGCATCGCCTCCCAGGGCCTGCACGTGAAAACCCTCTAGGTTCGGTATTTTCTTAGTGCTCGAATTTGTTTCTGGTGATCAAGGCTAAAGTAAGTTGGAACAGCATAAACCTTTACCCACTCGGGGGGGTCCCTCCTCCTCCTCCTCCTCCTCCTCCTCCTCCTTCTCCTCCTCCTCCTCCCCTCAGGGGGTTCCCTCCTCCTCATTCTCCTCCTCCTCCTCCTCCTTCCTCCCTCCTCCCAACTCCCTCCTCCCAACTCCCTCCCACTTCCCTCCTCCCTCCTCCCTCCCCCCCCCCCCCCCTCCCTCCCTCCCTCCCTCCCTCCCCCTCTCACCTCTCCTCCTCCTCCTCCTCCTCCTCCTCCTCCTCCTCCTCCTCCCTCCCTCTGGTCCCGTGGTGCCCCCAGCGTTTTCTTGCGCCACTCTTGGGAGCCTCTGGGACCCCCTGGGCCTGGTGAGGGGGCCTCTTCCTGGAGGCCGTGGGGGCCTCCCTGGCAACCCTGGGGGCGCCTCGGGCCAGGGGCACGTCTCGAGCAGGGGATCGACTACAACATCCAGCCACTGTAAGATTGATCTGTTCGTCGACTCTATGAGAAGTGCGTCGAGTGTTCGTGGATCTACGAACCTTCTGCGTGTCACTCGACGAGGAAATCAGATCTGGGGCAAATCAGCTCTGCAGTCGATCCCCTACGCGAACTTCTGGCAACATCCGATTCCTCCCAACGTTTCCCCTGCTCCTCCCTGGCCACGCCCAGCATCACGTCGATGTCGCGCTCCACGTTGTCCAGGATGCCCCTCGACAGCCAGCCCGAGCGCCGACCGTGGCGCAGGAGGGCGATCAGGGTGCCGCGGCAGGGCCACCACTCGACCCCCAGGCCCTCCAGCACCGCGGCGACCTCCTGAGGGGGAACGGCAGGCGGGGACTGGCACAGGGGGGGGGGACATCGCCCGGATTTCGGATGACAATTAATACATATCCAACGGACACCCCCAAAAAATAATCAACCAATAATCGACTAATCGTCTCCAGACTATGTTGTGGACTATTTTGGAATATTCCTCCTGTAGAGGGACAAGCCCGACTCAACCCTGGAGTCGGCGACTCGGGGATCTTCTGACCCTCGTCAATCCAGACCCGGGCCAGTCAGGCCTTGCAAGGGCCAGCGCCCCAACCAGGGCCAGCGCGAAGAACCCTCTGCAAACACCTGCAGGATCCTACACCCTCGCCCGGGTCAGTGCGACCCTGGCCCTGCAAGATCCCGCAAGGTCTGGCGCTTTGGCTGACCCCCGTTTGCATTGACCCCCGTCTCTTGAGCTCGGCGGTGGACAAACCTCCCTTTAGTAAACCTCCCCTTGGTGAAAACGGCCTGGGACCGAAACCGACGGACCTGGACCCGCAACAGTGACGGCCGCGACGCCCTCTCGCGAACCGAAAACGACCAATTCCTCAATCGACGTGTCAGGGTAGGAGGTCTACAGTCAAAAACCCTAAGAAGGACGCGCGGTAAGGACGCAAGACCCTTGGAAGCCGAAGCTGGCATTCCTGGGGCGGCGGACGACGAAAACCCCGAGGGCGCAAGGGCAAGGAAGAGCAAGGACGCGAGGGGCACCCTGAGCAAAGTCGCGCGTCCTCATTATTGAGGCTGTGGACCGCATCCGCCTCCGGTGAGCCCCGGGCGACGGCGTCGCCGACGGCTCCGGCGATGTGCACACCCCCGGGCGGGCGAAGAGCCCGTCGCGCGCTCCTGGGCGGCGCCGGGCTCTCCCTCTCGGGCTCTCCCTCTCGGTCGGCGAAGGCTGGGCGACTTTGGGCGTCGAGGCGCTGCCCCCTCGGGGGGCGCGCAGGCATGGGCTGGCGCGATGCACGGATTTCCAAGGGGCCCAGAGACACACAAGTAAATACACACGAATAAAAGGATGCCCCATATTTTCCCATGTTTTCTGGGTTTTGTCTTCCCGCCCAATTCCCATATTTTCTGGGGGGTCGACGATTAATTGTGTCTGTGTGTTTTTTCCCCTTCTGAGATTTGGCGCGCGGTCGCCAAATCCATGCATCGGGGGAGGTGCGTTCTCCAAAATGCGGCCGGTACGGCCTCGCTCGGCGGCGGAAATCCACGGCTTCCCATGGAAACGGGACCCGTCGCTGATCCACGCCCCCTTCATCCATGTTTGCGATCGCCTGGTCTTTTGTCGGGCATGTCCCCCTGCAGGCGGCTGGTGGACGAAGAGTACAGAAATAGTCAAAACATACTCAAACATGCCTCAACAAATACTCAACATATCGTCCCCAGACTGTGTTTTGGCTATTGTTGAATGTTCTTCCTGTAGAGGGACATGCCCGACTTCAGCCTGCTCCGAGTTTCTTAATAAGCGTCGGGAGGGGGTCCCCTCCGCCGACAGCCCCCCACAGCGATCCCCGTCGCGGGCAGCCACCGCGCGCCAACGGCGCTCCAACCCCTGTCGCCGCGCGACGACGAGGCGAGGTTGACCCCCGTCGGAAGGGTGCCCCCCCACGCTGATTAGTGAGCAGGGACCGACCGTCCCGGCATTCCTATAGTCCTACCACGAAGTGTTTTATTTAGAACCCGAATCTGTTTTAATAACAAACAAAGTTCTTCGAACATACGCCCGATGTGCCACAGCAAGACAGTCCCAGCCAGAAATGTCCTAAAAACATTTCGTGCAGACCACGCGAGGTTCTTAGGACATTCTTTGGTGGGCCTATAGGCGAGCCAGGACGCTTCGCCACTGCTTGAGCATTCCCCCCCATTGCTGCCCCTGACGTCCGCCAGCGCGTCGTGGAACTGCTCGTCGGTGATCGCGCCCGGCTGCTCCATCTCCGCCCACGCCTGCTCCGACTGGAACACGTCGTCCCACAGCATGCTGTTCGCGTGCTGCCGGAGGCGGTCTCGGCCCGAGGTGCCCCCAACTCTGCGCGCCACTCCAGAGCGCCCCTGGGGCGCTCCGGGCGTCGTGGTGCGGGGGTGCTCTGGAGGCAACCTGATCTGAGTATCGTTTAACCGTTTAACCGATCACGATATCCCCAGCGGCGTGGCCTGGGCCCCACTGGCCGACTTACCCCCCTAGATGGGGATATAGGTCGTCCCCTTCGGGTTCCGAGGGGTGTATCCCCAACTGGGGCGGTAGTTTGGTGGGGGTCTCGAAGGGGATGGGGATGGCTTGGAGTCAGCGGAGCATGCCGTCGGAGCGCCGGGCCCGGGATGCCGTGCACCAGAGGCCCCTCCTGCGAAGGCCGGCTCTAGAGGCCTCGTAGAGAGGAGGAGGAGGAGGGAGGAGGAGGACGATGATGATGATGATGATGATGAGGAGGAGGAGGAGGAGGAGGAGGAGGAGGAGGAGGAGGAGGAGGAGGAGGAGGAGGAGGAGGAGGAGGGAGGAGGAGGAGGAGGAGGAGGAGGAGGGAGGAGGAGGGAGGAGGAGGAGGAGAAGGGAGGAGGGAGGAGGGAGGGAGGGAGGGAGGAGGGAGGAGGGAATGTTGATGGGGGTCGGTGAAACGATACTGATGATCTGGGCCTGCCCCAGAGTCCTGTGGACGCCCCGGACCAGGGACGCCCCTGGCAGCACCCGAGGCTGTGGTAGCGCCGGACCCTGCCGGCGCCCCGGGCCAGCGGCCAGGAGGCGTCCAGAGCACCCGCGGCCAGCCCGCCCCCGAGGCGGGCCTCCAGGGCGTCGGCCCGCAGCTGCAGGTCGGATGCCTCCTTCAGCGCCTCCTTCTGCAGCACCCCGCTCTCGGCGGACCTCTGGTGTCGGCGGCGAGCGAGGGGGGGGAAGTGCGAAGGAGGAGGCCTTCTCGGAAGGTTCGGAAGTCCCCCAGCCTTCTAAGAAGTTGTCTAAGCCTTCCCCGAAGAGGGGAAGAACTTCTAAGAAGGCGCGATGGCTCTTCTGAGAAGTCCTGCTGCTTTCTGAGAAGGCCTTCTCCTCCTCATTTCCCCCCCTCGCTCGGCGGACCTCTGGTAGACGCTCAGCAGCAAGTCCTCCATGCGCAGCAGCGCCGCCTACAGCAGTCGGGGGCGCGCAAACATGGATTAACGATCCATGGATTTGGCGTGCGGTCGCCGAATCTATGGATCGGGGGAGGTGCCCTCCCCCCAATGCGGCCAATACCGCCTCGCTCGGCGGCGGAACTCTTCCATTTCCCATGGAAACGGGACCCGTCGCTAAGTGAGCGTTTTTTTATTCGGCGTTTCGACATTGGGCGGAAGGGGGGGGAGGAGGGGGGGTCTGGCTCTCTGTTTGGAACAGTGCGTCCCAAGGGGGAGGGGCTCCACCTGCTCGAAACAGGCCCCCCAAAACAGCCAAGATTTAATCCATGGGGAGGGAAGGGGGGGGGTGCGAGGGTCCGCGCCGATCGGCAAAACAACGAATAAAACAACGACCAATAATCTACGCCCCCTTGATCCATGTTTGCGATCGCCTGATCTCCCTCCTCCATCCCCCCCCTCCCGCTTCCTCCCTCGCCCCTCCCCGCTCTCTCCCCCCTTCCTCCTCAAGCGCCGATTGGGGAGCAATCCTTCCCCGATGATCCATGTCTGCGACCGCCTGCAGCAGCGCCCGCGGGCAGTGCTGCGCCACCGCCTCCCCCTCCCGCAGCACGGCCGCCACCATGCCGAGGGCCGCGCCGCCGAGCTTCGTGTACCCGCTGGCGTAGAAGTCCGCCGCGAGCAGGCGCACGTCCTCCAGGGAGAAGCCGCCCCCCGCCTCCGGGCCCATCCTGGGGAAGCCACAGGAGCGACGGCAAGAAAAGGGGTCTTAGACGAGATGGCGCAGCGACCTTACGACGCAGCTTGCGCGGGCCGCCCGCGCGGCACGCCACACTTGAAGCGAGGGCACTATTGCGCGCGACCTTGCGCGGGCAGCTCACGCGCCAATGTCCTCGAAGACAACACCGTTTTTGCCACAAGATCGGGTGTTGTTAGAAGGGCCTCTGGCCCGAGATGCCCCTAGGATTTCCAAGGAGGCCTCCACGGCCTCCAACGCACCCCTCACGAGGCCTAAGGGGTCTCAGGGGCTCCAGAGCGGCGCGAAAAGGTCGGGGCACCTTGGGCCTGGGGTACCTCCAGCACCCCCCGACAAGGAACTCGAGGCCTCCTAGATGGGTTTGAGCAGATGGACTCGCAGGCTCCCGCCGCATCGCTGATGCATCGGCGATGCATCGCACTGGCGACGTCGCCGATGGGCCGGCGACGTCGGCGTGGAGAACATCGGGCTCCACATCAAGCCGCATCGGCGATGCATCGGCGATGCGGCGCGATCCTCCGACCCCGTCTGCCCCGGTCCCATCTGAGAGGCATAGCGGAAACGATGCCGCTGCTCCCCGGACCTCTCCCGGGTGCGCTCTGGCCAGAATGGCGACGAAGGCCTCCCAGGAGGCCCCCCACCGGGGAAGACGGGGGAAGGGCAGCAGTGTGGGTGCCCAGACATCCGGCCGCTCCAATATGTTCGAAGCGGGGGCCCCAGAGGTCTGGACCACTTCCCTAATAGGGCTGGCTTGTCGTCCAGAATCGTTTTCTGGACGGTCCCGAAGCCCGGCGAGGGCCCGCTGAGTCAGAAAGTGGCCCCAATCCCGCCGCTCCATTTTTCGTTTGGGGCGTCGGATCTCTGGGTGCATATGGAGGCCAGTCCACAAGAAACCTTCCACAAGACCCAACCCTGTGACCTCAGGACGCCAATTGACTTTTGGTGTGGGAACGTCACGCTTTCCATAGCAAAACCATCGGAGTTCAAGAAATCCAGGGCACCCGGGAGGCGGGCAGGGTGTTTCTTGGCATGGGCCCTCACTGTACCTTGTCCTCCCCTGGCATCCAGGCCCGAGCGCATGCCGCGGCGGGGGCCTCCGCTGGCGCGGCGGCGGCCGCCGCCGCCGCGCACGCGGCCAGGGCAGCTCGGCGGCCGCGCATCCAGGCGTGGGTCAGGAGATGGATCGGGCGGGTGGTACAGTCAACCCGCATCATGATCGGCGACGAGCGAGGGGGGGAAGAGAGAAGGAGAAGGCCTGCTCAGAAGGTTCGGAAATCCCGCGGCCTTCTGAAAAGTTTTCTAAGCCTCCACCGAAGAGGAACAGAACTTCTCAGAAGGCGCGAGGGCTTCAGAGAAGTCCTGCTGCTTTTTCTGAGAAGGCTGTCTCCTTCTCATTTCCCCCCCTCGCCCGCCGCCGGCAGAAGGACGCACGAAAAGGATGCAAGGGCCTTGGAGGGCCGTTTCGAAGCTCTTCGAGCTGGGCGCGGTCAGCGAAAGCGGCCAAGGACGGGCCGAGGAGGCGAGGATGCGGGGGTGCCCATTGGGAAGGTTGCCCATCCTCACGAAGTATGCGGGTTGACTGTAGCGGGGGGTGCTCTACAGGAGGGGGCGAAGGCACAGGCCCCAAAGGGGGCACCTGCTGGCTCTCAAAGGGCCCTCCAGGGCCCCTCCGGGGTGCTCTCCTCGCCCCCCTTTTGAGTCTCCCTCCCTTACCACCCACCCGAACGTAGAAGTCAGGAGGTAGAGGAGGCCGCGTGAGGCGGGCACCGGAATCGGTGGCCAGAACTGATGATAAGAATGTGCGATCACTGCGCAAGCCCCTTGGACGCCCATGCCGAATCTGTTCGAGCGGGGCTTGCGATCGCGAAAGGGTCAAGGATGGACCGAAGAGGCAAGGATGCGAGGGTACGATGGGTTCGTGTCGTGTCAACCCTGGCGTTGGTTTCTGACACCGCCCTGGATCGTTCAACCTTCAGCGATCGGCCGATTCCGAAACGTCAGAACGTTGAAAACCGACCGCATTTGGGTCGCCGGCGGCGTCCAACGCGGAACGCCGGCGGCGGGGTCGCCGCGGCTCCACACGACGCGAACCTGCCCGCACCCTCTTGGGAAGACTGCCCATCCTCACCATCGGTTTCGACCGCATAGCTTGGGAGGCGGAGGAGCGGCCGCGTGGGGCGGGCACCGGCAGCCCCGCGGCGGCCCCGGCCGCAAGGCCGCGGCGGCCGCCATCTCTCCGGGGCGGGTGGCCGCGCGAGCGCCGGGCGGGCTCGAGCCAAGCGGCTGCGGAGGGCCCCGGCGCCTCGCCCTGCTCCTCTCCGAGCGCGGCCAGAGGCGCCCCCGGGGCGGGCTCGAGCCGAACTGCGGGGCCCGCGAGTATATGCCACCACCGCCTCCCTCACCCCTCCCCCTCCCAGAGGAGAGGGGGAGGAGGAGGAGGCTGGAGGAGGAGGAGGAAGAGGAGGAGGAGGCGGAGGAGGAGGAAGGCTGGAGGAGGAGGAGGAGGAGGAGGAGGACCAGTGTAAACCTAAGAGTTACCAGCGATGTTGCAATAAAACCTCCCCCCAAGCTCCCTCTTCATAGGCCCCTACAACGGTTCATGTGTCTTGCCTCGTTGGAAGACAACCGTTTGAAGACCCTGAAAAGCATGCCACAACATTCCAACGCCACGGATCAAACTGAATGTTGCGTCTTGATGACCCTGAATCGTGCCAGAACGCCATTCCTGGGACTTCAACACCGCGAATCATCGCAACTGTTGCACCCTCATAAATCGTGAATCCTTCCAAAACATTATTTCTGGTACGCCGATCATGGGAACCCGTGAAACTCTAACATTTCTTACAACGGACGCACGCGGCGCTGAGGCGAGAGCCACATTTTGAAAAGGACCCGCCATCAATCCGTGAAATTCTTGCCATTGTTTAGAAGGACTGTGCGCGGCGCTAAAGCGAGAACCGCATTCTGAAAACCACCCGCCCTCAATCCGTGACAACTGTTTACAACTAATGTGCTCGGCGCGAAGGCGAGAACCACATTTTGAAAACCACCCACCCTCAATCCGCAAAGCTCTTGTACAGCTTTAACACGAATGTGCGCGGTGCTAGGGCGAGAACCACATTTAGAAAGCGGGCCGCCCTCAATCCGTGAAGCTCTTGCACATGTTCAATACGAATGTGTGCGGCGCTAAGGCGAGAGCCACCATTTGAGAACCACCCGCCCTCCATCTGTGGAACTGAACTGTTGTTCATTTTTAGGCGTCAAGGTCAGAACTTCTGAGGAAGTCTCAGGCGAAACGCCCGGCCCGCCCTAAAAAGTAGTTTCGGGGTGCGACAGGGAGAAATTATTCATAAGGAGACGGAATGGTGGAGGAGGAGGAGGAAGAGGTGGGGGAGGCTGGAGGAGGGGAGGGGGATAAGGAGGCTGGAGGAGGGGAGGGGGATGAAGGTGGTGGTGGTGGTGGTGGTGGTGGTGGTGGTGGTGGTGGTGGTGGTGGCGGTGGTGGTGGTGGTGGTGTATATTCTTTGGGCCCGAGCCCAACGGCTGCGGAGGGCTCCTTCGCCTCGTCTGCTCGTGTCCAGCGCGGCCAGAGGAGCGTCTCGGGCGGGCCTCGGCCCGCATCGTCTTCTTCTCAGGCTCCCGACGCTCCAGCGCGGCCTCAGAGGACCCCAAGGTCGCCCCAAAGACGGCGCACGAGGCCCCCAGCACGGCCCTAAGACGGCCCAAGAGCCCCGCAAGGCGGCCCAACATCATGGAGAGCACGCGCTGACCTTTCGACCCCCCGCCCCGAGATGACCCCCGAGACCCGCCTGCAGGCCCACAAGAGGCCCACAAGGAGCTCCTCGAGGCCCCCAGACGTGCCCAAGACTATAGGCCAAGCGGCCTCCGAAGAGATGCCAACAGGCATTCAAGAGGCGTCTGACCAACAGCCCATCGCGGTGGCGGGCTGGGCCGAAGGCCACTGCGTCCGCCGCCCCCTGCGGCTTGCCACAGAAGTACACGGCGCGCCAGGCGTTCGGCGGTTTGGTCCTCCAGTGGGGTCTCGGCCGGGCAAAACCGGGAAGCTCGCCCCCGAGACGGCCAACATGGCCTCCAAGATTCCTACAAGACGGCTAAGATGGTCTCAAGAGAGCCCAAGATGGCTCCGATCTGTCTCCAGTGCGGGCCGAGAAGCACCCACGACGGCCCAAAGATGGCCCCAAAGCCCCCAAGCGGGAAACAAAACTGCCCAAGAGGCCTCCAAGAGGATCTCCAGGAAGGCCAATAGAGGCCAACATCTTGCATTTCCCGGTGGATTTTGTTGGATTTGTGCATGTGTTTTTTTGGGGCTTCCTGACGGCCCCCTGACGGCCCAAGGGGTCCCCGAGACGGCCCCCACAGGGCCCGAAGATGGCGCAAGAAACCTCCAAGACGGCCCCCCAGCTCGCCTCCAGGGTTCCCCGGGTTCCTTGGGTTTCGACGGTTTTGCTATGGAGGGCGGGACGTTCCAACACCAGAAATCAATGGACGTCTTGGGGTCTCAGGGTTGGGTTTCGTTTGGAAGGTTTCTTGTGGTCGGGCCTCCACTGTAGTAAGGATGGGCTGCCTTCCCAATTTCACCCTTACCCTTGCATCCTTGCCCCTTCCGCCCATCCTTGGCCACTTTCGCTGGCCAATCTCGCTCGAACAACGTTAACATCTGCCTCCAAAGTCCTTGCATCTTTGCCGCTCATCCTTATGATACGGGTTGACTGCACGTGGCTCGCGCCGCGCGGTTCTCTTGGAACCCCCCTCTCTGGCGCGCGGAGCGCGCCATGGGCGGCGCCGGAGGCGCCGCCAGGGGGGCCCCAGCGCAGATCCAAGAAGTCCGCGCGGAGCCAACAATTTATGTTTATGCCGTTGTTTGTTGTTCGACCTTTGTCCCTCGATCTACCGTCGATCCGCGACCCTCAGCCCTCGACCTGCTCATCCTCGTCCTGTCCTCGATCGGATCGGGGACGGGACGAGGGTACGTAGGTCGAGGGTCGAGGACCGAATCGATCTCCGACCCTCAATCCTCGACCCTCAATCCTCGACCCTCAATCCTCGATCCTCCATCCTCGATCCTCCATCCTCGATCCTCAATCCTCGATCCTCCACCTTCGATCCTCGATCCTCGATCCTCCATCCTCGATCCTCAGTCCTCGATCCTCGGGGGCCGAGGTCTCCATCCTCAGTCCTCGATCCTCAGTCCTCACGTCACGATCCTCAATCCTCTCCGATCCTCGATGCTCAGTCCTCGGCGGCAGCACGCCTTCGACGCCGACCGCCCCCTCGCCGCTGGGCGCCCCAGCCGCCGGCGCCACCGCGGGCGCCGCGGGCACGGCGGCCTCCGCCGCGGGCGACGCGGCGTCGCCGGCCTCCGCCGCGGGTGCGGGCGCCGCGGCCGCGGGCGCCGTGCTGTTGCCGCTGGGCTTCGCCGCGGGCGCGGGGGGCATCATCAGGTCCTGCGGGGGCGGGTTCCCCGCCCCGCACCCGCATGCACTGGTGTCCATGGTTGCACGGTGCTCCAGGCGTCGACCGTGCAGGCTGCCAACACTTTTTCGTAGTCGCCAGCTGCCCAGGAGAGCAACACCCGGGGGATACCAATGTTCGGGGTCCCGGGGCGATGACATAACGATTTGACCCGATGCGCGACGAGGGAAAAGGGCTTCGCCGCGGGCGCGGGGTGCGGAGGAGGAGGAGGAGGAGGAGGAAGAGGAGGAGGAGGAGGAGGAGGAGGAGGAGGAGAAGGAGGTGGAGACCAGGTCGCGCCTCTGGACAGAACAGTAGCAAAGCACATCTGGGAGGAGCAATCCCTCCGCTTTTTTTTTTGGGGGGGGGGGGGGGCGGGCCCTGGACCGACCGGGCACCTTCTCCTTTCCCATCTTCGGTGAGAGGCCGATGGGATGGGTGGCCTTACAAGGAGGAGCAGCAGCAGGAGAAGGAAGGCGCGGGGGGAACGGGGAGGGGGATTTTTTGGATTGGCTCCTCGCTGCAGCATACGGCTTGTCGAGACTGGGCGGCGCTGCAGCTAGCATAATGGTGGTCAGACTAAAAACTTCTGCACGGGCACCAAGGAAGCAAGGGCAGTAGTCCTCCCCCCCAAAACTTGGGGAGGAGGGGGGGGGAGGGAGGGTTGTGGTGGTGGCACTCAGCATCTGGTCTGGTTCGCATATGCAATCAGCCGACTACTGGCCGCTGTGCGCAAAGATAAGGGCACTTCCTGCCGCGAAACTTGAAAGTCGGCGCTCCCGTCGCGACTGGTTATCCACCTGGGGAACACCTTGGAGAACGTTCGGGTCGAGAGGCCTAACGAGTATCATCCCGAGCAGAGCACGATGACACTCGGTCCCGAAGAGTGAGAAGAAAGGCTACTCAGCTTGCACGCGCGCGCACACAAACATTGAAGGGAGCGAGGGAGAGGGAAAACGAGAAAACGAAGACACAACTGCACCACGCACGATGACATGCAGGGCAGAGGGAACAGGAAGGCGGAGGAAGGCAGATACACGACACAAAAGTCTACAGAGGACTCAGACCCTAAGTCTGACCTCGAGCCCTACATTGCCTGTGCACTTACGTGGCCTACGCTTTACATGCGCTTCGGGGGGAAGCCCAAGATCCCGCAAACTGGACACCTCCCCTTTCATCAGCATACTGTCTAGGACCCCATACCCCCAACATATTTACAAAGCTGGGATTCTGGCTGCAACTGCTGCTACCCCTCAGATCTACCACCGATTGTGTTTGCCCACCTTCAACATTGTCTGCAACGAATTCTGGATGTTCCGCTCTGGTCCCCCACGGGGCGGCGGGCCTGGCTTGATCTCCGACCCGAGCTTCTGGAGGCACTTCGAGGCCATGAGGTTCGCTGGAACAGTCAGCGTGCTCGGGGGCTCTCCCATCGGGACAAACACGTGGATGTAGAACAAATCCCGAAGTTTGCTTTCCTCTCCAACTTGCGTGAACGTCGATTTCGCTTTCCAATGCTTGATGCATTCTGCTGCCATCTCCATTTTCTCGCCTCGCAGGCGGTCCGCCAAAGCCGTCCAACCTGCCACCTCTGTCTCGATGTCCTCGGCACCTCGCGCCACACGCTGACGCAACGGGATGGCCAGCACTGCCATGGCTGCCGGGAGAGACGGAGGGCCCAGATGCGCCCGGGAGTCGGGTTTGTAGAGGAAGAAAAACTATGCACATACACCGATCCTGGCCAGGCCCATCCTGAGCCCAGGATCGGTGCATACGCCCTCCTACCTTGGCCAGGAAGGCATGTGCACCGATCCTGGGTCAAGGATGGGCCTTGCCAGGATCGGTGCATGTGCATAGTTCTCCTCGCCCGAGTTCCGGGACGTTCGCGCAGTGCTGCACTGCGCCCGCCGCGTGGGCGTTGACGATGCGCTCTCAGGGGAACGAGCTGCGCGGCGCGCTGATTGGGCACCCCTACAAGGCCCGAATGCGCCGCGTGACGCTCCACGGCTGCTTGGGCGTGCTGGTTGCCGCCTCGGTCTCCGTGCCGCTGCCTCCCCCGGCCGCGATCTGCCCCAGCGGCTGCTCCGTGCTCGCCGCTGCCGCCCAAGGACGAGGCCCCGGAGGTTGCTCCCCTCGACGGCGCTGCTGGCGTTCCAGTCTTGTCCGTAAGCACCAGCTGCGGAGGCGTCTTGAGGGCTCGCTGGTCGCTTCTGCGCCGCTGGGGTCACCATCGGCAACAGATCCCCTGGCAGCCAAATCGTCATCAGCTGGCCTCTCGACGATGGGCTGCGCTGCTGGATCCGGGGTGATGCGGCTTCGAATGTGCACCTGCAGAGCCTCCAATCTGTCATGGCCATCACCACACGCAGGACAGAGAAACGTATCAGGGTCAGCACTAGGATAACGATTCTGTCCACGATCTGCCCAACATTTATGGTGAGAGAATAGCCTCCGTACGCGTTGTCGTGCTATAGGTCTGCGAGATAATGCTGTCATGCACCATGGACACTGATAGGTAAATGTGAATACGTTATTCAGTGCGCGATGTCCATGCGTGCCGCCCTGTGTGCACCTCGCGTGCGCATGCCATGCTCGCCTATCTCGGAATTCGAGGCCACATCTGGAGACGTCCTCATTGAGATCTTCACAGATCCAGATCGGGGCAGGGGGGGCTTCTGGGGGTCCTGCTGGTGCCTGTTGGTCTCCTCCTTCTTCATCTCCAGCTTGAGCACCTCCGTCCCTTCCTTGATCTACTCCTCCTCTACCTCCGTGCTCTTGTCCCACATTGGTCATAGATGTCTCATAACTTGCCTTCCCAATGCGTGACTTCAGTCTGACAAACTCAATACGGAACTCATCATCAAAAGCTTGAAGGGGGCGTCAGCAAGCTTATGAAGTAGCGCGGGCCCTCCAGACTCCACATGGGCCATAGTTAGCAGATTATTCCGTGCCAGAAGGGCCCAACGATTCCCTTAATGCACGTTGTCTTTATCGCGCACCAACCTTCCATCCTGCAATGTGCCGCTCGATTCACCGAACAAGCGAGCGAGCATGGCAGCCGGCACCTGAATATTCTCATCGTGCTGCCAACGATTGGAGCCACCCCAATCTCCTGATGCGGAGCTTGAGCGGAGCTGGAACAAGTCCAAGTAATCGGCAGATTGTTTGGGAGTGTGAGCTCGATGATGTATGGGCCCGTCAATCTGAATATTTTGAAAGCCGCCTTGCCCCTAAACAACTTCCTGCCCCGGCCCAAGACGCTCGAGTCCAGGAGTCGGTAATCACTAGCTATGAGAACGAAGGCTTCGAGCCCACTGAACCCACTGCCTTGCACCCGACACTGGAAGACTAGCGTTTTGAGCTGAGAAGAAACACGACGAGCAAACCAGAATCTCCCCATACTCCAAAAAAATCCGTCTTACGTTATTGAAGCGCGCCGCTCGCTGATGTGTGCTTTGTCCCGAGTGAGCCAAGCGAACGCCAACATAAGCAGCATAAGGTCCTACATATCCAGGAACAGAGCTCAACTCTGATAAGGCTCGCGTGTTCTTGATAGAGCCATGGCCAACAAACTTCGGAACAATAAGCTGCTTGCTCTGATTCTGGGTGCCTCCAACTGTCCGCAACTGTGCGTCTAGCTGCTGACTGGCATCATTGAATCGTGTCGCCATCTCTCCAGTCGAAAACCCATGCACTTTGTTAGCAACGTCGTCCATGAACGCCGTCGTCGAGAGATCCGCCGACTGTGCTCGTAAACCCAATTGGCAGCTGCACTGCATGGCCTCACTTCCAGGGGTAGGGTTCTTGGTGTCCAGCCACGGTTCCAAAACATTGTGCTGAACTACTCTGTATTTGACGCTCGCTAATGACCCTGCAATGACCATTCTTCGATCAAGTAAGTTTAAACTCCACCTGCTGCGTCAACTGTAACATGAATACTCGGATTGTTGATGATGCCATGTCATACTTCGTCCGCGTCGTAGCACTGAAAGTCGATGCCAGCAATGGACTCCAGAGAGATGCTACCGAAATCGTTGGCCTGGTCATGCAAGACTGTCGCATGAGACATTCCCAGGCGCGATAACCTCCAGCTCGTGATTACGTGTACTTTGATAGCTGCGTCTCGGCGTCGGTAAGCTGTGCCACCATGCGTACAATCCAAGAACTTCTTCCCATGAGTACGGTATCGAGCCTCGGCGATCCATATGTTTTATCATCGCTTTGCTGAATGGGCACAACCTGCGAGTGAACCTGACTGCTTTAAATCCCGTCTGCGTGCTCGGTGTTGGTTTACACGCCCCCCAAGATCTGTGCCACGCCAGGGGCCCCTTGGGCATGCCTCGAATGCTCCACAGCATGTCGCGTAGGGAGGGAGTAAGGAGGAGGAAGGGAGGGAGGGAGGGAGGGAGGGAGGGAGGAAGGAGGGGAGGGAGGGAGGGAGGAAGGGGAGGGAGGGAGGAAGGAGGAGGAGTGAATACCCCGCGGGGCCAATCTCGTCCATCAACTAGACATCGCGCCCGCGTCGGGAGGGAAGAAGGGATGCGAGGATGGGGGAAGGGGAACGAAGGCGCATGGACGAATGAAGGCGGAGGAGGAGGAGGAGGACGAGGAGGAGGAGGAGGAGGAGCAGGAGGAGGAGGAGGACGGGTCGCCTAAGCCATTCGGAGGAGGTCCTCCACGGCGCTGAGGTTGTCGAACGGCCCACCTGGCCGGGCGGGCGCGGAAGTGGAAGCCCGCCTCCTGCTTTGCAGAAGTGCGCCAGAAGCTCCTCGGTCGGGTGGTAGTGGGGGGCGACCTGGATGCGGGGGGGAAGAGAAAGGCCCTCGAGCGCCCTCGAGGGCCCTTTCTTGGAGCCAGCACGGGCCCCAAAGAGGTCACCCCCTATTACCACCCGCCCTCGACCTCCTCCCTTCCCTCCCTCGTTTTCCGTTTGGCGCCCACCCCTTCCCGCTTCCCTTCCCCTGTCCGTCGGCTTCGTGGCGATGGCGACAGGGCCCTCGCAGTAAGGACGGGGGCACGGCGGGTTAAGACGACCCCCGCCACTCCCCCCAGGTGGGCTTCAAAGTGGACGCCGGGAGGCACCCATCCTGGGGGGGTCCTCCGCAGATCCAGTAAACAGGCCGAGCCACATTGCAGGGCCGATGACTTCCTCTCATTCATCGGTAATCCCAGGTAGTCCCTGCCATGCTCGGTCTCCAGACCAAGCATTTTGTTGCAGTGCGCTTGGCGAGAGAAGCACTGCAACGGGCCAGCAGAAAGAAGACGGCATGGAGTCGGAGCACGCAGAGCCTCACTGTGACTCGAGGCGGCGCAAACTCGATCCAGAACGGATGCGGCCGACAAAGTCAGGAAAGACCTCCCGCCACAAGACAACGAAACACGAGATGCGACGCATAAGCGGAACGTTATGCAACGCAACATGCTATACAAACCACTGCACAGCGCGACAAGACATGTCGAATCTAGAAACATGCGTCCATCCCCTTGGCGATGTCAGCGAGGCCTGGGACTCCTCCACATGGTAGCAGCTAGCCTTCGCATTTGCAGGGCTCCTGGAAGCGGGCCTCCGCTTGATTACTGGCAACTGCAATTACTACTGAATGCGTTCCCCGCCCAGGGGCCCGAGAACTGCTTCTTACAAGCCGCGGTTACAGAGGGGCCCACGAGGCCCCAGGAGGCCCCAGGATGAGGCAGGGGAATGAGGCTGGAGGGGAGGAGGCAGGATGCTGAGGTGGGGGAGAGGAGGAGGCAGGAGTAAGATAATGAAAAGAAGGATGAGACATAATGCAGCAGGAAGATGCATCGGAGGAGGAGGAGGAGGAGGAGGAGGAGGAGGAGGAGGAGGAGGAGGAGGGGGGGAAGGAGGAGGAGGAGGAGGAGGAAGAGGAGGAGGAGGAGGAGGAGGAGGAGGAGGAGGAGGAGGAGGGGGGAAGGGAGGGGAGGAGGAGGAGGAAGAGGAGGAAAAGGAGGAGGAGGAGAGGAGGAGGAGGAGGAGGAGGAGGAGGAGAGGAGGAGGAGGCAGGAGGAGGAATCAGGTTGAGGAGGGGGGAGTGTGAGGCAACAGAAGCAGGCACGAGGAGGAGGAATAGGATTGTCTGCGAGCCGTCGCCCCCCCGCGATCCGCAGTCAGCCGCGCCTGCCTCCCCAGCGAGGTGGGCCGCGGCCCCGAGCTGGCTGCCTGGCCGCCCCGCAACCCCGAGGTGGCCCTGGCCCAGAGCGCCCCCCACCGAGCTCTTCGCGCCACTGCGCAGCCCTGGAGGCCCCCTGCAGAAGGCGACAGAACTGGGTCACCCAACTTCGGGCACCGCGCACCGCGATGGTCCCGGCGCCATCTCACCGACCCCCTGGAGAAAGGCAACCGCGCTGGCCCAGACCACGACGCGCGAACAGCGATCATCTTCGCGCTGCCGCAGCGGATCAGAAACGCACCGACATAAGCATAAACGGGTGCCCCCGAGAATAACAAAGTTCAGGGTTCCGGGTGGATACTAGACTTTTTGTCCCAACGAGTCGCGTGTACGGATGTACGGGTACGACTGTTCGGTGGCAGTGGAGCAGTAGTAGTAGAAGAAGTCGTAGTCGTAGTCGTAGTCGCAGTTGCATTCGTAGACGGTTAAACTTTCGGAGGTCCGCGCGGACCTCTTGGGGCGGCGCT